AAACACGCAATTTTCAATGCTTTATTAATGAATATACACAATAGACAAAAGATACAAAAGTACCAATTGATTTTCAACTTGACTGCCTAATAAAGTAAGCGTGAGGAATAGTTGGTAATTAGGTCAGCTTGTTTTTCATTCATAGTTGATAACATTTGTGTGAATATTCTTAATTTTTTGCATAATTGAATTATGCTACCAGCCAAGTCAATCAATTTGCCAACTCTGTATGCGACACGACAAATTGTGTCAGTTGAGGCGGTTGAAATGACAGAAACCTGGAATCGCGCCCAGTCATCATTACAGGGCATCATTCATTTTGTCATCTTGCCAACTTACGACTACATCGAGTCCAGACTGGCCTCCAGCCTCACGAACAACAATTGACATTCTGCGCGCGACACAAGGTCAAATGGCATTTATGTTTTATTATTTTTTCACGCCCGCCAGAGTATGCATAGTGAAGCACAGTCTCAATGTCTTCCTTTCCATGCTTTTCCATGTCTGCTGTTAATATATGTGCGCGCTTGTATATGTGTGTCTATGTGAGTGTTCGTCCTTGCTAAGGCAATTGATAACAGACTCAACAAAGCTCAGACCGCTTAAGGCTTGCCGCTGAGGTCTGCTGCTCTGTTTGCGAATCAACTAGAAATGTATTCAGTTCACATGCATTTTCAGTTTCAGTTGAACATTTAGTTTTCTTCAATTTCTGCTTACCCGATTGCGCTTGAATTTTTCAGATTACCCAAAGTGTTGCAGCTGCCTTGAAATGCCCGTGGTTATTGCAGCGGGCGTTATGTGAACATTTAGACCCTCTCCATGTCAGCGACTCACACACACGCACACACACACACACACATTAGCAAACACTCACACATCAAATCCAGCTTGTGGCTGTCAAAAATGTGAAAGCAGCTGTTGAGAAATTTTTTGCAGGAATTTGCAGCTGGTCAGACAAGGGCAAACATAGCCAAAAAACAAAAGCTGCGCATTTAAGTAGGCAATGCATTTGATGTGCTGCAAATCAATTTCGCCTCAAATTTGCCATTTTTATACCACTTACCTGTTTTGAAAGTAACAGGCAGAAGAAAGCATCTCTAAGTTCATAAAGTATATTAATTCTTGAATAGGACGAGGAGCTATTGACTATCAAGCTAAACTCGAAGATTATAAGAGCTAGATTTAACAAGCTGGGTTTAAAGGTTCTTGTATACACAGATGACGAATATTTTACATTTTCGATACCTGCATCCATTTCCGACTCAAATTTCTAATTTTTCAAGGTATATACAAACGCTGGGCCCTGAAAACAAAATAATGTTTTGACTGTACATACTGGAAAATTATTAAATTTAAAATTGTATTTCCCATAGTGTGTGGCTGGCGTAAGAAGAAGCACATATGAACATATGTAAACAAAGGGTATCTCCTGGTCGGGTACTTTGTTGTGGTTGATTATAGCACTCATGTAGAAATTGTTATAGTTAATTTGTAATTTTTGATTATTTTTTTTTTAGTCTAAACCAAAATGTATCTGCCGGTACACCAAATATGGTTATAAATAGCTTTAGAAGCTCCATTCATATTTCAAGCTTATCTAATCGTTGTGCTATTTTTGAAACCACACCACAACTGGGCCAGTTCGACCGGCGAATGCCTTTGCCACGCCATTAAGAGCTTCATTAAAAACTTTGGCATAATTCATTAGTGCCCCAGCAGCACGTGAACTTGAAGCCGCCGGCAAAGTCAAGTGCTGGCACGGTGACTAATTCCATTCACAGCCATCCGAATATTGCACGACAATAAAGATAATAACCCAATGTGGTGGCAACAGCAAAAAAAACATATAATAAGAAACAGCAAAGATTTTGACAGATGGTTCAGGGGTCGACCTTGAAATACCCTGGAATGAAAGCGAATGTAAAAAAATAAAGAGTTTAAGGAACTGAGCAGTCAATTTGTACAACTTTAAAAAATGTTTAAAAATCAACTTTTTTATCTATAATAGAAAAAAAAATTGTTGATATTCCTATGTGAAATTCATCAAACGAACTTAATATATTTCCATATATTTAACTAACTAAAGGAACACTTTTAAAACATTAGGATGTGGTTTTGGGTAACTTCTCTTGCAGAAATACGAAATTGTTGGAAAGCGGTTAAATGAAAATTTATTGTTGTAAATTTAATTAAAAATAAAAATTAACGGCAATTGACAATAATTATTTATTGTTATTATTAAATTTTAATAAATCAATAATTTTTGTTCAATGTACTCTATTTGTGTTCTGTATTATCAATTTATACTAATATTTTTGCTTTCCACATACGAATAAATAATAAATTAAACAAAATTTTAGGTTTGAAATTTTATTCAATTCATTGTACTACATAGAAATCCTAAATACTCTATCAACCTACAGAAAACAGGGTATGCAAACAGAAAACGTGAACGCTGTGCCCCAAAAGAGGCGCCAACTTGCGAGGCGTTGAAAAAGGACGTTGTCATTATATGAAATGTTGCCTACTTATCGGCGCATGCGTCAACTGTGCTCGTGCTGGTGACTGGGACGGGATTGGGACCGTGTGGCACATGCAACATGCTGAACCTTGTTGTTGGTTGTTGATGCTCTGCCTCCGTTTGGGTAACAAAATGCTGCCCGCCTTCAGCAGCAGCAGCAGCAGCTGACGATGATTTCGAATTTCGAAAACTGTTATCAACAAACAGGCGAACGATGTGCGTTTGCGTGTGTTTGTGTGCGTGTAATGTGCGTGTGTATGCGGCTATGCTTGTGGTTGTGTGAGTGCGCACTTGCTGCTTCTACTGCTTCTACTGGTGCTGCTGCTGCTGCTACTGCCACTGCTTTTGGCAGATATAAACCCATCAGTTGGCGGCTGTTGCACGTCGCGTGCGGTTTCGTTTTGGCTCCTGGGCGGTTGTTGCTGCGACGTCCTTTTCTCTTTTGCTCCTTTGCGTGTCGCCAATATTCAAAGTGCGCTTCGTTGTCGCTGCCTCCGTTAGTTTTTGAATAACTAGAAAAAAAAACTATTGCACTAACCGTCGTCCTGCCAAGTGGCGCAATTGTCATTTACCAGTCGCAGTTTGCGGCGCGCGGTCGTTCTCGCGGATTTTCCAACTGCCTTCTATTAGAAGTGGCAGAAATTTATTTCAATTCTAAGATACAAATATTATAAAAAAATAAACAAATGATAAATTTAAATAAAATAAACTTTATTCAACTGTGAAAGACAAAGACTTTATCCAAATAAATAATTACTAAATACTCTACGAAATAAATTTCAATTAACCTTTCAAAATTAATCAAAAAATATAATAATTACAAAAAAAAAAAAAAACGGTAAGCTTAAACAAAAATGGTTTATGAAAGTAAAATATAAATATCAAATACTAAATTAACTCGTCAATTTAATTAACTTCGTAATTCGTTAAAAAAAGACACAATAAACTTATTAACAACACAGTAATTAGAATTATTATTCAAAAAATATAATTATTACAAAAAAAAAAAAACAGTAAGCTTAAAAAAAAATGGTTTATTAAAGTAAAATATAAATAAAAAATTAACTTTCCAATTTAATTAACATCGTAATTCGTTAAAAAAAAAAGACACAATAAACTGTAAGAAGAAAAATCATGCACAAAAAATATATTTTTTAATTAAGTTAAAGTAACTTTAATCAAAATTCTCAACTAAACTAAAAAAAAAACCTTTTTTGAGCAAAAAGTATCAAAATTATCAGTTATGATGAAATAACATTTTTAAAGCAATTCGGATTATTTTTTTAAATATTAATCAAAATAAAAATAATGCTAAAAATATTTAACGAAGAAAAAAATAACTTTGATATAATTTTGTATGTAAAGAATGTTTTAAGATTTATGAGGGAGGTTTAACTTGATTAACATAACTGAATTCATTTTTATACATTTTATAAGTAGTAAAAAGTTATTATTCAATAGATTTTTGGATTACTTATTTTTTATTTAATAAAAACTTGCATAATTTATATATTCAATGAATGCACGCATTCGCCTCTTATTATTTATGTGTATCTACTTTAATAAAGATTACAAATTTGTTGGTTAAATGAAATTCTACATTATTATGTTGTAAGCTTCAGAGAGGCGCGCTAGTTAGAGACATCAAAAAACCGCAATTTAAATATGATTAAAATAATTAATTAAAGGCGCGCTAGAAACGTCACACGCAGATACAATAATGAAAATAACAAAAAAATGCATGAAAATAATGAAAATATCTCAGCAGCCGACGGTGGCTCATTTAAATTCATTACGAACTGGCTGAAGCCACTGGCAAAAGACCTCGTTGGGTCCATTTAGGGGCGGGAGTCGGGTCGCCTGAGCGCATCAATTTTTCAGGCAATTTAATTGAAGAGCGCTCACGAATTTTAGATTTAAGCCGGCAGTAAGTACGGCATTAAACACCAAATAAAAACCAAAATTTCTTTATATGATTTGCGCACACAGGAGGGATCGATCATCGACTGCTGAGATTTTTTTATATTTTTTATTTGTTTTGCTGAGCAAGTCGGGCGTCACGCCTACAAAATTATAACGAAGAACACGTGCAAATTGCGCAAAGCGAATAAAAACCAAAACCAAAACCAAAACGAAATAAAATAAAATAAAATAAAATTATATTTGCGTCGTCGGGTCGTTTTAACAAATTTATTGTACACATACACATATTGTTTATGGCCGATCCCCCTATTCCCCAGCAGTCTTACGCGACGGCAAATCTGCTGTGCGTAATGGAAATCAAAGTACATAAAAATCAAATTAAATGCCATAAATAAAACCAAATAAACATAAAATACAATTATATGCATCTGCATGAGGCTCGTGCGAGTAGCTGCGTCCTTTATCCAAATTCAGAAGCGTGCCCCATTAAATATTCAAAGTTCTTAAAGCAGCCGCTACGTCAGGTACCTCCGAGATCCGCCGTGCTCCGCCGTGGTTAGCCGTCGCCCGCCGGAGCTGCCCCACATCAGCTGCCGTGTGCTTTTCCCTTTTGGTGAGTATGTTGCACGCCTTTTGGAGGTTCTACTGTCTGCATATACATTTTTTATAGTTGGGAGGGATTCGGGCTAACTTGTACTTTACGAATGTACATCTTTGCCAAGAATATCCAATTAGGGACAAATGGATACAATAATAAGTATTTTTAAGATGACTTCCTGCATGTTTTGGACTTTACTCCATTTTAAGCGCATCTTGAGAATCATATATTCTTCAATTTTTCAACTCTTTTCCCCTGCTACTCAATTAAATTGTATTCAATTTTGTAAATTTTGGCACCTTAGAGCGTCCGTTTGCGTAACTATTTTTTCTTAGCTTATTTATTATTTACAGATCCTATTTGGTTGGCAACCGAATTTATATTAGATTTAAATTCCATGCTTAAGAAATTCAGTCAAGCCCGCCACAAGAACCCTTTCGGCCTCTTTGGCACGCCCACCTACGTTCCTGCAAAGGCGCAAGCAAAAATGTATACGCAAAATATATAAAACTTTCAACGCATTTTTTTATTATTTGTTTCTCATTTCTTTCGTTTTTTTTCCCCCTACTTTGTGCTGTTATTTGTTTTGTTTTGTTACTGCGGCATTTACGAAATTCCAATGCTTCAACGCCTTCAGTACTAGGAACAATAAAAATGAAAAGACAGCCATGCCAGATGCTCATTTGCATAACACACACTGCGAAAGCATAGAGTGCGCCTGAGCTGTGAAAGAAGTGTGTAAACTGTTTGAATTATTATATTCCAAATATATATTATATTCTTTAAGGCACAGAAATCTGTACGCGCACAAATGGTGGGGCTTATGTTCTGGCTGATTGCGGCTTTCATGTGGCATTATTTGATGTCCTGCATAAAACTATTTATGAAAATGCCACACACTTATTTTCTGTGCTCACATGCGACTGGCGGCTGCATTTGGACAGCTCCGCCCAGGAACACTTTTATGGCTGATAGATGGTCCGCCCAAAGCAGTCCCAGACTTTGTTTTATGTGCCGAGCCATGCAAAACTTCAGGCAAGTGCTTCGTAAAAGTTAAAGTGGTTTATTTAGGCGCAAAGCAACAACAAAAATGGAACGGAAAGAGCAAAGGGCATCCGTGACATTCAAAATTAATCAATGGATGCTCAGATAAATCGCATTTCCGGTCATTGATCAGCTAACGATGGATGCACCAGTTGTTGCGCAAAATAACGAAAATATTTCGAGCTCCTAAAAGCAGACAACACTGCGTATTAGCAATGTGGTCTAAAAATTAAAATATATATTTAAGCTTCTTGAGAAATAGATTTTTTTTAAATTTTTTTATTTATGGTTCACATTTTTGTTTGCTTTATTTCAATTTTACGGTTATTATGGAAAAGTAAATCATTTGTTTTGATTTCTCTCTTGGGCAATTACTCTGGCCTATCAAATTATGATAAATTAAATTTATGGCCTATCAAATTATCAGTTTGGTATTACAAAAGAAGTTATCGGTATATGAGTTTACTTATATTTAGTAGATTGACAGATTTCCATTGTAACGGAATTGAAATTGAGAGGATGCACTAAGCGCAAATAAATATTTCTTTCGAGCTAGACATTATAATACAAATTATCGTATAGTTTTCCAAGAAATTGCCAGTTCGTTTAATAAAGCTTTTACTTAATTCCCGCCGTTGACCAACGCGAGATTATGATATACATATGTTCGCGCGGAAACGACATAATTCCGCGCGGAGATTTATTGTTTGTAGAACAGAACGGCGGAATCATGTGATACGTGTTGAATCAATTTTCACTAAGGTCTTTGACTCGTATTGTATGTTACGAAATTTTCATAAATTTGATACTTTGGATTTGAGCTCGAAAGTAGTTGCTCAAAAAAATTGTGTAAATTGGTTGCTCACAAGTATTTTTCAGGCTATTATTTGATTTGAAAAGCTTTAAGAAAGTTATCCAATGAACTTTATAGCAAGAGCTCAATGTGTAAGTTAACACGCGCAAGACAAATTGTGCTGACCAGGTCATTGGACCGGACGCTTGTGCAACTAAGTTGCCAACGGAACCTGACACCTGCATGCCTGCGTCGAGTGATCGCCGCAAGAACGGTCACGAGGCGCCAAGTCAGCGTTCTGCTGCCGGCTCTGCCACGAACCATGGGCTATGCTCCAGCGCTGCCGCGAGCCATGGGTTACGTTGTCAGGAGCTTAACTATGTTTAAGTTAGTTCTTAATTTGAAACTCAAGTGCTCAGTTGAGCCGAATAAATATTTTATATCGAAAATCGGGATTTTGTTACTGGCGCCCAACGGTCGAAGTACCCGCGATTAAAATCGAAAAATCAGTAATAATTGCATCGTGATGCCAACGCCGCGGTGACAATTAACAAATAAACACAAAAAAAAATTAATTAAATTAAATAAATAAATAAAAAATCGTATTGCAAACGCCGCTATACAAACTCTAAAAAACAAAACTAAAGGAAATTTCAACATTTGATCAGCGAAAGCTATAACCAACGAAAAACTACATAACTGCGCTGCACCCCGCATCGGCCACCAACAGCTGCTAGCATTTTGTCAGACGCGGAAATATGAAATTCATGTAAGTGGAGTGCTCATTTTGTCTGCTAAAAATAAAGTATAAAAGTTGTCTAGCAACGTGTGTCCAGAATTAGGGTGAACCAGTTAAAAAAAAAAAAAATTTTCTGTTTATTTTAACTTGGTTAGAAACTTGATGTGTGTAAAATTTTTTACAAATCAAAAATTTGCATAAGGTTTTTATAAATCAAAAAATTTGTGCAGAATTTTTATAAACCAAAAAATTTTTTTGTAAAATTCTTATAAATAAAAAAATTTTTTTTGTACATATTTTTATAAATACAAAAAATAGAAACAAAAAAAAAAAATAAATTATTTTTACAAATCCCGTAAAAACATATAAAATACCATATAAAAGTTCACTGCTCGACAAATATTCTGGGACTTGATGTTTAGAGTTAGAAGACGGACAGACAGTAGCGACGAAGAACTGATACCTTCATACCGAGAAAACAGGACAAATAACAATATGAGTGAACAACAGCTAAAAAGTCTGGAAGAGCAGATGCGTGCAAGCCTTGCCTGTCAAGCACAGTTATTTGAGCAAAAATTAGCAGCAGTCACCCAACAGTTAAATAGTCTTAGGGCGGTCGCGCCAGAAGTAGAAATTTACCAAGCTACCGAAATTATTCGAGGGAAAAGTTGCGACGAACCGCTAGACATAGTAAAGTCTCTTCCTGAATTTGACGGGAAACAGGACAACTACGTCTCATGGAGACAAGCGGCTATCACAGCCTACAAAGTTTTTGAATTCTACAATGGGAGTTCTAGGCATTATCAAGCCATAGCCATTATTCGAAACAAAATAAGAGGCCCAGCAGATGCAGTGCTTGCATCTTTTAACACAGTACTTAATTTTAAAGCAATTATTGCAAGATTAGATTTCACGTATGCCGACAAAACACCGGTACATGTGATACAACAGAACCTTAGTATCCTAAGACAGGGTGATTTGCCCCTCTTGAAATACTATGAGGACGTAGAACGAAACTTAACTCTACTAACAAATAAAACACTCATGACTTATGACCCAGCCTCAGCAGCGATTTTAAACGAAAAATATAGAATCGACGCGCTCCACACGTTCGTTTCGGGACTTAGAAAGTCAATTAAGTGGGCCGTTTTTCCGGCTCAGCCGCGCGATCTGCCAACAGCCCTAGCATTAGCACAGGAGGCAGAATCAAGTAACGAACGAGGCATTTTTATGGCAAATTATGCAAAACACACTGAGGAAAAATCTCACAAATCAATTGGCCAACGTTCCCAGGGCTCACGTCAGCAGGAAAACGATTATAATTTTCAGGAAAAGAGTCCAGTTTTCCAAAAAGGGCAAAAAGAAAAACAGGGACAACAGAAAGCGGGTAGTTCAAAGCAACGCTTTCACAATCAGAAAACACAGGGACAAGGTCCTGAACCGATGGAGGTAGACTCATCTTCGCGTTTTAGGCAGCCAACTCAGGCACAGAATGGCAAACAATCCCAAAAATATAGTGACCAATCAATGCGAAGTCAGCAAAGATTAAACCATTTGCCTCAAGAGAGAGGTAACGATGATTACGAAAATCATTCACAATCGGAAGCAACAGCAGTTGACGATGATTTGTCTGAGGCTGAAACTTGTAATTTTTTAGGGGTAGCTCCCTGCTTCCGTACATCACACGTACAGTAGCAGGTTATACCATTAAGCTCCTTATTGATACGGGCGCATCCAAAAATTATATAAAACCCCTTAACATATTATCACATTTTGTACCCGTTGACACACCATTTCAAGTAAAGTCCTTACACGGACACACAAAAATTGAGCAGAAATTGCCCATTCATTTATTTAACGTAAAGACATATTTCTTTATTTTGAAAGACCTTAAGGAATTCGACGGCATAATTGGCCTCGATTTATTAAAACAGGTAAATGCAAATATCGACCTTACAAAAAATATTTTAAGGTACGATCACGGTTCGGAACCGATAAATTTCTCTAAATGCCAAAATGTAAATTTTATACAAATCGATGATGCGGACGTTCCCACCGCAGTCAGGGAATCTTTTAATAAAATGATAGACCAGACGATTATGGCATTTGCAGACGTTAATGAGTCCCTACCCTACAACATAAACACTGTCGCCGTTATCCGTACGGATGGCGAACCAGTGTATTCCAAGTTGTACCCATACCCAATGGGCGTATCCGAATTTGTCAATGCAGAAGTTAAACAACTTCTAGCGAATGGCATTATAAGACCGTCCAAATCGCCTTACAACAACCCTCTGTGGGTCGTCGACAAAAAAGGTGTCGATGAAACAGGCCATAAACTCAAGCGATTAGTAATCGATTTCCGTAAATTGAACCAAAAGACAACAGACGACAAGTACCCGATCCCAACCATTTCGACAATACTGTCTAACTTGGGTG